GGGGGGGGGTGGTGATGGATTCGTGTTTGTATTTAATGATACCGTTGCTGACTACTGAAATTTCGAATGCCCTTTCATAATAGGTGATAATGGCTAATGATTGTATTGGCGAGGAAGTTGAGAAGTTGGTCGCTGAATTGTCTGAGGGAGGTGTATTGCTGCTTGAAAACGTGAGGTTTTACAAGGAGGAAGAGAAGAATGACCCTGAGTTTGCCAAGAAGTTGGCTTCACTCGCGGATCTTTATGTTAATGATGCCTTCGGAACTGCTCACAGGGCTCACGCTTCCACGGAGGGTGTGGCTAAGTATTTGAAACCTTCTGTTGCTGGGTTCCTTATGCAGAAGGTTTGTTGCACGCACGCTCTGTAACCTTTCTTGTTGAGAGTAAAAATAGACACTATCAGTCAATCACATGATAAGATTAATAATGTACATTTGGTTGGTGGTTTCTAGACGCTGCCTGATACATCTGATGGTTCTCTTGATTCAGGAACTTGACTACCTGGTTGGGGCTGTGTCTAATCCCAAGAGGCCATTTGCCGCCATTGTTGGTGGTTCAAAGGTGTCATCAAAGATTGGAGTGATTGAATCCTTGTTGGAGAAGGTTAACCTTCTTTTCCTGGGTGGAGGAATGATCTTCACCTTCTACAAGGCACAAGGTCACTCAGTGGGTTCATCCCTTGTGGAGGAAGACAAGCTTGACCTCGCTACCTCAATCATTGAGAAGGCAAAAGCTAAAGGAGTTTCTCTCTTGCTTCCAACTGATGTAGTGATAGCTGATAAATTTGCTGCTGATGCAAACAGCAAGGTTGGTAATTAATGTTTTGTGAATTGAATATGGGTAAATTCGAGCTCAACAACATTCATGAGCATAGTTGATAAATTGTTTGTCCCTACTTTTTCAGGTTGTGGCAGCATCAGCTATCCCGGATGGATGGATGGGGTTGGATATTGGACCTGATTCTATCAAGAGTTTCAGTGAAGCTTTGGATTCTACCCAAACCGTTATTTGGAATGGACCTATGGGAGTGTTTGAGTTTGACAAGTTTGCAGCTGGAACAGAGGTACGCAATAGGAGGAGTGACTAGTTTTAAAAACTTTTATGCTGTGAGTTGTATGTATATATTGCCTGTGTACTTAAGAGTGTTGGGTGGGTTGGTTTATGGTGGTGTGCAGGCTATTGCGAGGAAGTTGGCAGAGCTGAGTGGGAAGGGAGTGACCACCATAATTGGAGGAGGTGACTCTGTTGCGGCTGTTGAGAAAGTTGGGCTTGCAGATAAGATGAGCCACATCTCCACTGGTGGTGGTGCCAGCTTAGAGCTTCTTGAAGGAAAACCGCTTCCGGGTGTTCTTGCCCTCGACGATGCTTGAGCTTGAGGGACCTCCACTTTCTTGGCGTGTTTTCCTTGTGTTGCATTGTGAAGGTCGTTCAACCTAATGAGGATTCCTTTTTTTCTTTGAGAAGAGGTTGTAGTTATATGATAGATTTCGAATAAACTGTCAAGTTCTCCTCTGAACATATATATATATATGGTCCACCGTCTTAGACCATTATTTTCTTTTCATCCATTTAAAATGTTAAACGATGCTGATGTCTGAGATGCATTCAGGCTGTTTTACCAGTAATGAATCGCCTTTGTTCACCAATGTTGTTGCTTAAATTTCATCCTGAACTGTACAAAATAAAAGCTTCCGAAGCAAACTGGCGTCCAGTTTTGTGGTGTGAATAAATGAATATCTTGCTGCCACCCTTTTCTTGTTGGTGAGGGATCGGTGGCGGATGAAAACAGATGGAGGGCATTTTGAAAGCTTCCATAAGAATCTCCGCACCGCTGAATTGACCACTATCGTTTCTTCATTTTTCTCTGTTTCAGAATCTTCTTCTTCTTGCTTGGCTTTTTATTTTCTTCTTTATTCTGTTTCAGAACCCCTTTTCTCGCCCATTTGCTCCCCATTGCCTCCTACAAGTCTTGCTTCAATGGCCGTACCGTCGCTCTTCAGATCTGCACCCGCTGCTTCTTTTCTTCAAGCGTCGCTTCCTCTCTCTTCTGCCGATCACCCTACGGTGCTCGTCTTCTCAATGCTTCTACCCATCCTTCATTTGTTTCACTAATATACTGTGTTCCCAAATGGAATTTAGTCAAATGTTGCAACACAAATTGTTTCTTCCTTGTTTTCTAACTCACCAAGCTTCTCTTTCTTACTAACTTTATAATCCACTGGAAATGACTTTAAACAATGAATAAATTTGAGGCCCAATCTGTTTACAACTTTCTTCGCTGCCTTCCACACTCCACAAGCCCACAGCTTATCTTGATTAGCTGATGGCGAAGTTGTTTTCTTACTCACCATCGAATTTGTTTGTGTAGGCTCCGTGCGTTAATTTGAGTTCTTCCAAGTTTCAATCCAGCATTTTCGTTGCTCATGTTTCAAGCGGATCATCTTCCTTTCAGCTTCGTACACCCCACAATATTCAACCTAGTAAAGCTACAGCTACTGAAATACCTCCCGCAGTTCGTAGTTGAGTTTTAAAATTTCATATTTCATTTCTCTTATCACGTTCACTGTCTTTTTTTTTCCTTTTTCTTTAAAAAAATTATCAATAATAAATAGAAAATAAATTCTCGATGCTAATCATTTCAATTTGTTGGTTTCTCTAGAATCGAGAAGCGGTGGAAAGACGAAGATCGGAATCAATGGTATGAGTTGGTCGATTATTTACATTTTTACTTATCTTCTTTCTTGTAATCAATGGCATAACATGTTTTCTACTTGTGTATTTCTGTTTCTGCAGCATGTTTCAGCTGTGAGTGTTTGTTAGACAGTTACGTTTTCACTCCAAAATACTGAATTGGACTAATTTTCTTTGTCGATTTGTAGAAGTTAAGAAACTGAAGAATTGGTTTAATAAAAGACGATCTGCATGTGGAACTTCAGTTTTTGGTTCCTTTCCATTGTAAAGAGGCTTAAATTTAATAATTACAGCTGCTTACTCTGGGAGTTCAGTTTTTATAGTCCCAGATTTCACATGCTTATTGGCGTGTTGGAAATCATTGATCATTTTCGTTTTTCATGCTACTCCACACGTTGTTTCTCTAGATGGAAACTGGTGTTTTGTTTGTATCCAAATTTCTGTTTATATTATATATATATAGATTGGAGCACTTAAAGCCCCATGCCATGGTGCACTTTGAACTTGATATAATTTTTGAAAAGAAAAAAAAGAAGATTCTACATCAGCGTTTGAGAAACAAGAAGATAAATCGTGGTTGATTTTGTTGTCATTATTTCTCCAAAATCAAACATTCATCATGGCCTCTCATATCGTGTAGACCTTGACATTGCTATTTATTTTATTAAGTAATGTCCTCGCAAATAAAAACGTGAATCCTGTTTTACTTATGCAGGTTTTGGACGCATTGGAAGATTGGTGTTACGAATTGCAACCTTGAGGGATGATATTGATGTAGTTGCAGTTAATGACCCTTTTGTTGATGCAAAGTACATGGTAGTGGCAATCCAGCCTCCTTTTTAAATAAGCCCTTTTTTGCCGTCAATTGTTGTTCTTTTAATTGTGGTTTTTAATCCTTTTACTTGAAAAACTACGCTATGATTATAGCCGTGGGAGAGTAGTTGAGTGGTAATTCTTTCAGTTTCCAACTTTCCAGAATTGCTTAACGATCAAGCTTTTAGATGTGATGAAATGCTTTTAATATACTCTTCATTTTATGCAGGCATACATGTTCAAATTTGATTCTACACATGGTAATTTTAATGGTACAATTAACGTTGTGGATGATTCAACTTTGGAAATCAATGGGAAACAAATAAAAGTTTCAAGTAAAAGGTACTAAGAAAACCAGAGCAACATTTAAGACAGAAGTAACATCTAGAGAATTGTTGCTTGGCTTCTAATCACCTGGAATGAATCTATGGTTATTTCTATAGGGATCCGGCAGAAATTCCTTGGGGTCAATTTGGGGTCGAGTTTGTTGTTGAATCCTCTGGGGTTTTCACAACGACAAATAAGGCATCAGCGCACTTGAAGGTATATAGACATGTAATTGAACTTAGTTCTCAGTCATCTAAATTGAAGACTGAAGGCCCCCAATTTCTTGACACCTCTTTATAGGGTGGAGCCAGGAAAGTTGTCATATCAGCTCCATCAGCTGATGCACCTATGTTCGTTGTTGGAGTTAATGAGAAGACATATAAGCCAAACATGGATATTGTTTCAAATGCAAGTTGTACCACGAACTGTCTTGCTCCTATTGCGAAGGTGTGTAAATCCCAGGTGCTTAGGCATTTAAAGAAATAAAATTATTATCCAAAGAAATTGCGCTCTATGGAAATACGACATGCAGGTGGTTCATGAGGTTTTTGGTATCGCAGAAGGTTTGATGACAACCGTGCATGCAACCACAGGTCTCTCTCCTCTACCAGCCCCCCCCCCAAAAAAAAAAAGTAAAAAGGAAAAATGAAAGAAATAATCATGGACGATAATTTCCTTTTCTTTCTCCAGCTACTCAAAAGACTGTTGATGGTCCCTCAATGAAGGATTGGCGTGGGGGTCGAGGAGCTGCACAAAATATCATTCCGAGCTCTACTGGTGCTGCGAAGGTTAGATGTCAATATAAGAGACTTGTGACGACTACGTTGTAAAGGAGTTAATCTTTTCAATATGATTTTTGAACTGCAGGCCGTGGGAAAGGTTCTTCCTCAGCTCAACGGAAAACTTACAGGAATGGCATTTCGTGTTCCAACACCTAATGTATCCGTTGTGGACTTGACTTGTAGACTAGAGAGGAGTGCTTCTTATGAAGATGTAAAAGCTGCAATCAAGTAAATGAACTATCATTCTATTCTTACCCAGATTATTTTGAGTTGATCCACACGTAAGTTAATTGTTTTCATTAATATGCTGCTACCTGAGTACCAACTAAAGGTATGCCTCAGAAGGCCCACTCAAGGGTATCATTGGTTACACGGATGAGGACGTTGTCTCCAATGATTTTGTTGGTGATTCAAGGTATTATATTATATTTCTACTCACTCGCACCAAAAGTTAAGGTACTTAACGTGAGACTGCACCGTGAAAGGCTTCCTATCCCAGTTCTCATTTAGCAGGCTATGGATCACGAATGGTTAATTGGATCTGAACTTACTTCCAGGTCCAGCATATTCGATGCAAAGGCCGGAATAGGTCTCAGCCACTCCTTCATGAAGCTTATCTCCTGGTATGACAACGAGTGGGGATACAGGTACTCTCTCTCTCTCTTGCAGTTACTAGATATGATTGCTTGAAATATGCTTACGCTCTCGATTTGCTTTGATATATGACTGTTATAATACTCGCCTGAACAGCAATCGAGTGCTGGACCTCATTGAGCACATGGCATTGGTGGCTGCCAACGCGTGAAGACATTTAAGCTTCTGCGATGTTAAAGTTTTTTTTTTTAATTTTTTTATTGTTCTATTCTCCAGAATATTGCATTAGAGTTTGAAAATAATGACGAAAAAAATAGTTTAGATGGTCGCAATAAAACGCAATATGTTATCAGAAAGTGGAATATATTTTGAAGACTAGTTTTGTTTCTCAACTTGGCATCGTGGGACATGGAACATGGTGTGTTTTTTTTCTCGCATATGAAGAGAGGTATAACCTACGACCAAAAATGGAAAAGTACACCTGAATTCCTACCTTTTATGCATTAAATTTGTATTTAAGAAATAATGCCTCAATCAATCTTAACAGACATATTCCTCTGTAAATTTGTGTTAAATATGCATTAAATTTGTGTTTAAGAAATATTCCTCTGTATTAAATATGCATTAAATCAGTATTTAAGAAATATCCCATCAATGGAAAAAACGTTACAAATATTCCTCTGATATCCAAACATTCAATTGTAGCAAGCAACAAGAGAAGGAAAAGTATGGTGGGAAAAAACTTAAGAACGCTCACAGTTGTTGTGTTCATCTTTCTAGCCCTTGCTTCTGGTACGTGATCCCTCTCGTTTCTCCCTGCTGATGGTGGTACAAACGGAGGGGCTGACTTGCTATAAAGACAGCGAGGCGTTTATAGGACAGTGCACTTTGGCAGCGTAATGTGCTAGTCTGCATTTCGTCTGAGGGGTGGGATGACAGATTTTGCTCGGGTGATAAATGCACTTGTACCCGGCAATGCTGTTGTTAAGTCCATGGTTTGATGAGTTTATTCACTAAAGTTACTCTCTGAATGTAATAAGCAACTGTTAGTTCATTGAAATTGGAAGGCTCCTGCGTCCTTTCTTCCATTTTATAATTTTTATCTCACTGCTTCCTTCTTCCATTCAACTATGCATTGTGACATCGGTTAGGCAAAGGAAGTAAATGCTGTTCCAACAAATTGATTTTCAAGTAAATGCGGCCCGTTCTCCAATCCCAACAATTTGGGATCATTATGGGCGAGAAATCTCGGTATCCTATGATCTCAATTGGAATGACTATCAAAAGGAAGGCAAGATATGAGTAGTTACAACATCATATAAGCACCGAATGCACCTCTCATCAAAACATTAAGTGCGCCAAAACATCAAAACGCATAAACAAAATACTTTTTTTCGAGAGCACACGCTAGTTTGATACAAGTCTATCGCACATATCTATCGTCATCTTTTTTGTTCAGTGCTCCCAATTGTCAAATTGGTGGTGTCCCGTCTAAATTTTAGGGAAAAATATCAATCTATACCCTTACACCGGCAGGTTAAACAATTAAAATCCATTCGATTCCATTTTTTTTTTTTTTTTTTTTTTATAAAAATAAAGAATAAAAAGACAGAACAAGTCTATGAACCAATATCTAAAATTGATTGGTTTAAATCTCTATAAACTGTTAGTTTAGAGTTTTAATTTTTTAACCTACAAAGCTTACTCTAACAAAATCTAAAAAGCTTTGGGTGTAAATTGATTTTCCCCCAAAATTACATTTAAGAGCAAAATTAAAACTACTTAAATTGCAGAGATAAAATAGATACGAGTATGGTAAATATGGGAGGAATCTTTAATTGAAATAAAACTAATTTGAAATAGATAACTGCCATTTAGTAGTTTCCCCCCCCNCCCCCCCCCCCCCCCCCCAAAAGGTAGGCTTCGTCCGAGCAGTCGCACTGCGTTTCGAATATGTAACGGAAACACATATGATTATTGTACCATAAGAAGCGAAAGGCAGGGAAATAATTTATTGTGCATTGAAAGGAAGAGAGGTACGCGAGAGCATATAAAATGGGATTTGGGCGACAGAGTTGAAGTGCAGAACATTAAGAAGAAAGAGATGGCAGGAGAAGTATGGAGAAAACTCACTGTCACAGTTTTGTTGTTCATCGCCTTAGTCCTTGCCTCTGCTAATCCAATCCCTTAGGTAGTTTGGTAGTACAGGATAGGAAAAATAGATTTAACAGAAATTGTGTGCTTGTTACAGGAAGGATGGTGATGGAGGCGGAAGGACATATTTGCTACAGGCGGAGCGGGGCATTCAAAGGGATCTGTACTTCGGACGACGATTTTAGTAGCATTTGCGATGGAATGTGCAATGCTGGTTCTTGCCTCTGTGTCGAACCTTGCTAATTCTCTCGGTTTTATGCAATTTGATTTGTGCTGTGTGCATTAATTCTCTACTAAAAAAACGATGGAGTTTTCGAGACACTATTCATAATTTTTGGTTTTTTCAGGAAATGGTACTAAAATGGTTATTAAATTTTGAAATAACGAAAGTGAACATCCAAGAACTTCATTTTAAATAAACTTATCAATTTGGAATCCTTACATCTCGAGAATTTTGATTCAGATTATGCCAGAATTTTGATCAAATTTTTATCCTAAATCAAATCCACAAAGTTTATGTTAGAATTCTATTCCACATCTAACCAAATTTTTCGTAGAATCTAACAAAATCTATCCCAACAAATTAAGACATACCCATACATGTTCGAACTCCAATACTTCGGTAAGAGACTGAGAAGTGGCCAGTGGCCCTGTTTGGAACGTTGGACGAGTGTGCAATAGTATTAAAGCTGAGATCCCAGTATTAGGTAAGAAGGTCGAGGAGAACCAAACCAGAAATAAAAGTTATACCATGTAAAGAAAACGTAAAGTAAACTTACCATGCAGCAAGGTATACCGTGCATGCGTAGAAATAAAACACGAGGGGGAAGAGAGCGAGCGTTGAAATTGTTATTACTCTAAAAATCCACTTTCCCACTCAATATATAGATGATATACCAAATCCAACAACAAATAAAATGTCTTCACTCAGATGTCAGTCGCTCGCCTTCTTCCCCCTCATATCTTATTTCCCCAATGAATTGAACCAGAAGGGTATTCAAATCACACCAACATAAATACGAAATAAATCCCAAACCAACTGCAGTAGCATATCATCTTACTTGACTCGAATCATTCGGTTGACCACCATGGATTATGCCATTCTCGTTCAGGTATTCAACAAATTCATCGATGAGGTATGGCCATGCACCTTCGGCATCGTAATTTGATAGTGTAGGATCCACAGTCTGCATATCAAGATACGTAACAAAGAAATTAGCACGATAAATGCATGGTATCAACAAGAAGCATGCAAGACATCAGCACCACCAAAATGGCACTGGTGCTTCCCACCATTTCCCCCAACACTCCCTGCAAACTTTCTTGGGTGGAAGCGCAACAAATGGAGTGGCAAATTTTATTCGTATGTAAATCAAAAGGACTGTTTTAAAACTTCTAGGAATAAAATATAATTTTTGGAAGTTCATAATCTAAATTATTATTCTTTAACTAAATAATTTTGAGACATTTAAACCGTTAGTTTAAAAATCCATTCTTACCCTTGCAAACTCCAGAAGCTGAGACCACGTGTCCCTAGAAATAGCTTTATTATGCCGAGCCTGAATCAGAAAGATTACAATATGAACCAATCCAATAAACTAATAAGAATGAATCATTAGAAGTCAGAACAAGCAACTCTGACTTGGAATTTCTAACAGACAATTCAAGTTCTGAAGGCTTTTTCTTGGTTGAGTGGAAAAGGCTTAGACCTTCCATCTCTGCGGCATTATATGCAACTTTCCAACATTCCTTAGCAGAAAGTAAACAAGAATACTACTGGCTTAATTTTGTGCAGGAAAAGTCCTCCCGGTTGCACATTCTATTAAAATGTTCAAGAAAATTACTAGCAAACAAGAAAATAACGGTGATCTTTTCTTGCATCCATAAAAAAAAGGTGATCCTCCAAGTTTCTGGAGTCAAATTCCAGAGTCTTACAAAAAGAAATCTTCACCACAGAGGTTATCGGAACAACAGGGAGCATTGCCCCTAGACATTAAAGTTCGCCTTTTTCAAATAGACAGATTAGTAACATTACCTGCAAGAACTGACACCAGTGGTCAACCAGAGGCCACTGCTTTTCAGCAAATAGTAACTGCCACATTCCAATTGCAGTGTCCAATGCTAAGGATTTCTGCCCCTAAACACATATATCCACTTTAGAAGTCCATGCATTAGGCAGCCATTGTGCTGGCATCTAACGCACATGCCACTGAAGAAAGAAAAACAATTTTGAATATATCCTTCAGGGAACGCTCAAGAAGCACGAGTACCTTTTCTTTTGCCCAACCAAATGCGAAGTTGTAAATATCGCGAAACTTATCTGGACAGACATGAAATTAGCATAATACAGCAAGAGAAAATCACATAGAAATTCGTTTCCAATCATAAAGGATTATACAAATTGCAACATGATATAAGCTACAAAAGAATACAAACGTTCGTCTTTCAACTCAGAGCGCATATATGGTATCCTTTCTCTGAACCTCTCCAGAGAATCTATCCTGCGATCATAAATTGAACAATGATACTATGACAAGCATACTCTTGATCCCACGCACGCTATTCTTGTCCTAAGGAATGTAACTGCAAAAAAATTAATTACCCTAGTGCTTGTAATCCACCTATAAATTCCTGTTTGGAAAATTCACACATTGTGTTCGCCTTCATATGCCAAGAAACAACCAACTGCAGATAATTGCAAAAGACATTAATTTTTGTATTTTTTCTTTAATAAAAAAAAGCTAATAGTCAGAAAACTTGCACAAAATCAGTAATTAAACTGAAATTCTTTAAATTCAGAGGTGAAAAATAATCAATCGCATCCACATCTTTCAATTAGATAATACTATAATTGTCCAACCAAATATACAGTGTTACATGATTAATGGGAAATTTAAACAATCAGCTTCTTTTAACAAGGATGAAGGAAGCACTTAAAGGGACCTTGAAGTTATTTATGTCAATGTCTCTGTCCACTGCAAAGTTATCGGTTATGATAAATGGAAAACCGGGCGGAAAAATTGAGGCTAAAAGAAGGTTAAGATTAAACATGCTTGTTTAATTGTAAACTTCTGAGGAGAACGGTCTACAATTAGCCCCCACTAGAAGAAATGCATGCATGTCTAGAATCTAAATTTCTTTAAAATGAGAGAGAGCATTAAGTTTTAGTTAAATTTACACACGAATGCCTTGTTTAGCAACAATTCTTTTGAAAAGCATACCATAACTATATCTTGAGGATCCACCTGCAAAAAAAGGTGTGTCACGTCAGTTCAATAGGTAGAAATAACTAGAACTGAATAATCAAGTAGTAATATTTATAGCCCTCAATTCATCAAGCACATAAAACATAGTTGGACACATAAACCACCTACCTGAAGGTCATTGCAGAGCAGTGAGATACCATCAGCCAATATCATGTCAACATATGGATCTGCCAACCATGTTAATTAATAAACTGTTACTTTCATGTTCATAGAAAATCATAATCTCTGTCAGCATGGTTTCACTACCCTTTACAAGTTTACAGAAAGAAAAGAAATCTAGTAATGATAAACGAATATAAATCTTGCCTTTATATCTGCTATAAAGCTCTTCCAAATGTCTAGAGTCGGTGAATGCTTTAATTAGGGGTTGACTGTAAAACACATCAATAGCTCCTTCAAGATGCCACTCACTAGCCTTCAGGGCCTGGTGAGCAACCTTTTCACTGCATGATTAATAAAATATCAAAATCAATGAAAATATGAGACAAACCCAACTTCATTACTCATGCTTCTGTACCTCATATGAAAGAAAACTACATACGGATCAGCTTTCAAACGCAAAAGAAGACTATTTGGATTAACAAAACATAGCCCTTTTGTAGGAGATATACAAGGAGACGGTTTACAAAACAAAAGGCAAAATGACAACATATAGGTTTAGGTTTGAAGAATCTATGTCATGTATACTTGATAATATCTTAATGGGTTAAAATATTATATTTTTTTTTTCTTATGACCGGGTATCAGAAACCCAACTCCGTACATTATGTTCAAGACCACCTCCACTAATACTCGGGGAGGCTTCACCGACCCTAGGGCTACTTAGAAAGACAGGTGTCTTAACTTTTTAAACAAACTTTCGTTCTGGTTTCCAAGACTTTGTATATCTATATCTTTATTAACTAAGGCAGCTGATCCCTCCCGCTACTAATGCTAAGTGTTAACAGCAATTGAATTGAGGAGATATCAACTAAGCCCCAAATGTTTGGTGGTAAAAAATATTAGAGAATTCAAATCCCATGAAATTAAAAAATCCAATGTCATTCGAAGTGAATTTTAATTCTTCTGCAGATGACGACTCTAATTTTTACAATAATTCACGTCTACTTCTACAGTTTCTATCTTGCCTAATAAGTGCATGTCAGTCGACAGTCGCCTGATTTCTTAGTTTTTCTCTTTCCACACATAAGGTTAGTCTTCCTCAGAAGGAGGGAAGCAACCGCATCCAAACGGGATTTCAATGCCACAAAGTAATTAAGGAAATTTAAGAGGAGTTCATTAACGTACCTTGTACCAGTTATAGCCATAAACTGTTGGAGTTTATCTCGGTGTCCTCTGCTTAATTTATGCTGTCGAGAACAAATACAAGAAAAATTATATTATAGAAAGATGTTTTCATGCCCTGGGTGCATTGTTGTACGCATAAAAGTCCACGCAGACGTTTAAGCATGTCAATAAAAAAAAAAAAAAAAAAAAGAGTTAAGCATGCAGCAGTCGCTTAAATTTAGCATAAAATATCGTTACTCCATGCATCAAACCGCAATCTCAACCAGTGAAATCAGCAACCAGAAGATAAAACCTCAATCTAAAACTCATGCATCCGAAGACTTCAGAATTCCGTGATGAAGTGACTTTTACACAAAGATAAAGAGCAGAGTGTTCGGTTATCAAATATGATAGAGAAAAAAATGTAGTCAACATTAATCCTGGCCTCTGGAATAGAAATTGGAAGCAGCTTAAACAACAATAATCTTGCACAGAGAAAAAAAAAAGTGAGAAGGAATGCAATAATTGAATTAACAAGAACCGAAGAGTGGAAACACTAACCATTTTGGGGGTCGTGGATACAAGCCTCGCGCAGAGAAATGGTAATCTGAGGGTAGACTGGCCGAGAATGGATTCTCCGACTCCGGAGAACGTCGAGAGAGAATTCTAGGGTTGTTTTCTGGAAGCTCTATTTCTCTCTCTGAAAGAAGGAATGCAGGGAGTTCGATTCTGTTTTTGTATTCTTTTTTATTAAATTATAGAAAATATAGTAATTTTTGTTTTAATAATTTCTTAAATTCTAAAAGGTTTCGAAAATACCTTTGTTAAAAAATAATTTTACTATTAAATTTGGGAGAGAAAAAGTTAAGATTTCATTTCAATAATATTTTAATATTAACTTTGAATTTTCAAAAGCTTCCAAATGACTTTACCTCAAAAAATGTTTAAAAAAATAGCAATGTTTAAGAAAATTATGCTTAAATTTCATATCAATAATACCTTTCAAAATATCAAAAATAAAATAAAATAATTAATACTTCATCAAAAATATTATTTTTATGCATATTGTTCCAAGAGAAAATAAATAATAACAAATTATGTGGTAGATAGTTATCTATATTAGATCGCTAAAACTATACATGTTGAACTGAAACACATATATATAAGTCAATATTTCTCTTATATTTCTCTCTACTATCATTTATGTTCACCTTGATTGAATGTGTGAATTGTTGTGCAGTTCTAACGTCTAGTATCAAAGTTAAAAAATATTCACCATGATATGTGGAGATACAAACTTAAAATGGGAATCGAGAAATTTGATATATTCAATTTTAGTTTATAGAAAATGAAGAAATATCTTCATAACCCCTTATTCAATATGAAGAACGAGACCATGACCACAAAGCATTGGAAACTCAAGGATTATAGGATTGACTCGGTTGACCGCTGTCCATAAACGTGTCGTTCAACATTATCAAGGAGTATTGTCAAACATGTAAAAAAAAGAAAAAAAAAAAAAAAAAAAACTAATCGATTTGAGGCATAGATTATTCCATCTACAAATGTCTCAAAATGTATTTATTATGAAGCGTATAAATGAATTCAATAAAAATATAAGTTAACTGAGTTTGATGAAAATTAATTTTAAAAAATAAAATTAAAGTGTTAATTTTAATATTATGTTTATCCGAATCTTGAAATATTGTTGTTGTTATGATCAATAGCTCATGGATAAATTGAAGTTTAATAAAATCAAAGATGCAGCTATTTTTCTTCTTAGACAACTTCTCTTAATTAAGGGGCTCATTTGCAATTTCTATAGGTTATTTTTCGAAGATTGGAGGGTCATGGCGGCAATTTTGCTATACTTGCAGGATTAAGGTTTTAGATCTAGGTGCCTTTGCCGAACGCTATTTAAACGCCTCGCAGGATGCCCAAAACTCGTTCTGCATCGCTCTTCTCACTCCAAAATCTCCTCTATGGGTTATTTTGCAGGTATTATGCCCTAATTTTGTTGCGGCTGATCCGCGGATCTTAGTCTTAATCGTGTATGCACTCGCAATATATCTTCGTCTGATGGTAAATAGCTCGGCCATGCTTGATTGTTTGAATAATTTGATACGTGCAGTCAATTTTTTTTTTTTAAATATATATTTTTTAATTTTGTATTTTTTTTTATAGATTTCTTGATATATCCGATTCATTTGTTTGATGTCATCGGGGTGTTGGATTTGTTAAGTCTAATAGTGGCAGTGATGATGAATTCATATACCATCAAACTATGAAAGCTCTGTCTTCTTTTTGGGGCGAGCTTGTTGATGTCACCATGAATTTTTCTGAGCCTTTCTTCTTGACAAGGATGGTCCAATTTTTCAGTTTTTAGGTTTTACTTGGTTTGTTTTGGTATTCAATATCTGAGCCTATCTTCTCGCGAGTCATCGAATGCACAATCGCAAAAGGCAATAAATTAGAGTCTCTGATACGCTCTCTCCCGTGTCGTCATCAGCGCTGTACGTTGCCAATAAGGATTTGGGGCCGAGATTCTGGCACTTGCCTTTTATGTTCGTAAGGCTGTGCATTTAGGTGCTCCTACATTTGCATATCCAATATTGTTCTTTTTGAAATTATTGCCATTTCGATATCCCTTTACTTGCTTTTTTGGATATACATCCTTTTAATTCTAAGATTTGAGAAATATGTTTGTTCATTTGATAATGTGGCGCAACAACTTGTTCAGTTTCATTCACGTATTTTTCTTGAATTGCCGTTATGTTTTTGGATACCGTTGGAAGGTATGACCTGTAATTTGTAGTAAATGGTCGATCTGTTGGTGACGAATGATGAGATCCAGCGGGAGGAAATAGGAAGAAATCAGGTATTCTATGGAGGCACATGCTTGGCCTTTGATTTAATCTTGCTTTTTTTCGGCCGCGGGCAGTGCCAATTTGTACCCAACCTGAAATATTTCTTCAATCTGTGAAACACATGAATTCCAAGACCCGCACTCTGATTAACATAGAAGCTGCTTAGAATGTGAAACAGGGCCGAGTATTGACGAGGGCTACCAATTCTATATCACAGGATGCTCCCTTGCCAACGTTTAATTTCATTCGGATGTTAATCTACAAGCCAGAAGACCAAGTTATGTTATGTACATATGCAAATTTACCTTCATTCCATACACGTTTTTGTCAACCTTGGACCATTTACAAATAAAGTGAATTTGTACACACCTTGGACTTGTTAATAACGAAATAAACCATTTGAATGTCAATGTGAGCATGCCTACGCCATACTAACCCTGAACCCTAAGTCCGTCCTAAGAGAAAGTTGAGGATTTAAATTTTCTCACCTCTATGATTGGTTATTTAGTCAATAAAGTTGTTTAAATTGACGGGATGATGTCTTCTTCGACCATTGATTGAAATGAGGCATAAATTTATGAGATCGAAACTAGTGCATGCATCAAGTCTGATTGATCAGTGCGCCATCCATTGTGATGGCTGGAAGAATCAAATTCACCATCCCGAGTATAGAAAAAGAAATTAAAGCTAGCAAAAATCTGCTTGTTGATGAAGAACCGAGGGTGTGAAATGAAATTAAGAACGGAGTAAAACCAAGGGTTGTGAAGAGTGATTTAAGAATAATAATAGTTGTGCACAATATCGCCCAACACAAGTTGCTTGCTAGGTTCAACACATGGACAGAACAAAGGAGATATTTATGGGAATATCAAAGCTTCATCTTCCTTTCCTTTTGTTTTTCTCCAGAAAAATTATAGACAGATCAACCCAACGCAACAAAAACCAATGGAATCCACCATTTCTGGTCCGCCAACTTTCATTGAGCAAGCAAAATAGATACGGTCCTCTTTAGACTTTTCCTTGAGGCTTGAATCAATAATGACTAAGTCCAAAAAAAACATATAATCAATTGTTTAATAAATAGTAATTAAATTTAAATAAAAGTGGTTAGATCGAGTGGAGAAGAAAAAAAGAAAAAGAAAAAGGTGGGATTTTATAATGGGAAAGTGAAAAGTAATGACATAATATCGACATTTTATGGATTTTAGTTGGGTTAAGCAATCAGAATCAGAACTCCAGGTGTGCAACAATAGCAATTTTGGTCTTGGTTTATGCTCCTGCATGTCGACATACTTTCTTACCCTTTTTCTCAACACTAAAATAAAAGTGATCTAACACTTCACCTATTGTAATTTAATTAATAATGCTTTTTGAGGATTCGAAGGCAGTAGCACATTTGATTTATTTCCGCCTTCCTTGTAGTGTAGTGGTAATTCTATTATTTTCATTATTAGGGAATGACCAACTTTTGCTGTGAACCGCAGCAAGTTGGGTGGGGCGAAGGCTTTATGCGAATTGCGAATTGCGAATTGCGAATAGGCCTTGGTCTCCCACCCCAAAATGCTAGTAAGAAAAAATAAAACAGCACATTAGTTGGATGCCTCTGAAACTCAACTCTCAGTTTTATTCTTGTTTTCTTTTCCATCCATCCCTCATAACCCACTACCCAAAAGCTCCCGTCTCCTCACCATCCACTATCTCCCTCAATTCCTTCCACTATTATTAATTCCTCTTCTCCAAATTTCTCACACCACTTTTATTACACACAGCTTTTCCCAACAATGTTAAACCTTTTCTCTGTTTTCCTTTTCCTCACCTTCATCCTCCCTGCTGATGTAGTCCACGCCGGGCGTGGGCGGGAGTCTTGTACCTGTCATTCCGCCGCCGACCACAACGCAGAGGAGGCAATCAAATACAAGGTTGGCTCGATTGCTTCGGTGCTCGTGGCCGGCGCTGCGGGTGTGAGCCTTCCTTTGGTGGGCAAGAGGATTCCGTCTCTGAGGCCTGAAAATGACATCTTTTTCATGATCAAGGCTTTTGCTGCGGGTGTCATTTTAGGCACTGGGTTCATCCACATACTGCCTGATGCCTTCCAGGACTTGACCTCCCCCTGCATCGGACAGAACCCTTGGGGCAATTTCCCATTTGCGGGGTTCATTGCCATGGCCTCCTCCATCGGCACCTTGATGGTGGACACATTCGCAACCAGCTTCTACCAGAGACGCCACTTCAGTAAAATCAAGCATGTAATTGCAGTTGCAGACCAGGAAAGAGGCGAGGAGCATGCCGGTCACGTGCATGTCCACACCCACGCCACACATGGTCACGCTCACGGCTCTGCAGCACCCGCCGGAGAAACATCGAGTCTGACTGAGTTAATCCGGTACCGGATTGTTTCTCAGGTACCCGTGATTAGATGTCTGCCATCAAAGGCAGTGATTGCCTTCATTTTTTAATGTATCATCATCTGTTAATTTTTGGATGGATTTTTCAGGTGTTGGAATTGGGGATTGTGGTTCATTCAGTAATAATTGGGATTTCTCTAGGTACCTCCCACAGCCCTGCCACCATTAAGCCACTGCTGGTGGCTCTGTCTTTCCACCAGTTTTTTGAGGGAATGGGACTCGGTGGCTGCATTTCCCAGGTAAATTCAAACTAAGCTATATGATATGACTCAATTTTGAGAGATTTCTGGGAGCGACATTACTGAAGAGTTTGAATGAAAAAATCTCGCAAGAATTATTTTTTGCTGTTAAGTATATCATAATCATGAGCTTAAATCACCATTTCCTTGTTTGTTTGTTTGTTTCTTATCTCGTGACGAGGGGGTGCAGGCACAGTTTAGGTGGCGATCAGCGGCAGCAATGGCGACATTTTTTTCACTGACAGCGCCTGTGGGCATTGCAGTGGGAATCGGAATTTCGGGAGTTTACAGAGACAGCAGCCGGACGACTCTGATCGTGGAAGGGAGCATGAACTCTGCATCGGCTGGGATATTGATATACATGGCGCTGGTGGATCTTCTTGCGGCGGATTTCATGAACCCAAGGATGCAGAATAATTTCGGGCTTCAATTAGGATCTAATATCTCTTTGCTTCTGGGGGCTGCTTGCATGTCTGTATTGGCCAAATGGGCTTGATCCATTTTTGCTAAGTTTTCTCATTTTTGTCTGATGTCACAATTTTAACGCAAAAACCAAGGCCATTGACCACCAACGAAGACCAGCCTAGAGAGACTATGTTTCTTTCTTCACAACTTATTCTCTTCTAATTTAAAATTTAAAATTTATGGTTTTTTTTATCACCATTTATTTATAATTTATCCAAAATATATCAATTCAACTCAATCTTGTACTTTGTTTTTGGGTGTGAAAAATAGCATTTTATATATAATAAAGTTACCTATAAATTTAATTCATGATTTGATGATCAAATGAAAAATTAAGACAAAAGTTATCGAAGCATCTATAATGAGAATTAATATTTTTGTGTCCCAATTTAAAAGACTTGATTTTTATGTTTAAGGAAATTTGTGTCAGTAACAAATTACCCGAAGTAATACAATATGATATACAAGTAAAATGTTTCTACTTATGAAAGACAAGAGAACCAAGATTAAACAAAATATTCCTGAAACATTAGGATTTCGGGCTTTAGGGTTTTTAGGGGTTTAGGGGTTTAGGGGTTTAGGGTTTTAGGGTTTAGGGTTTAGGGTTTAGGGTTTTAGGGTTTAGGGTTTCGGGTTTAGGGTTTAAGGGTTTAGGGTTTAGGGTTTAGGGTTTAGGGTTTAGGGTTTAGGGTTTAGGGTTTTAGGGTTTAGGGTTTCGGGTTTAGGGTTTAAGGGGGTTTTAGGGTTTTAGGGTTTTTAGGGTTTTTAGGGTTTTTAGGGTTTTTAGGGTTTTTAGGGTTTAGGGTTTAGGGTTTAGGGTTTAGGGTTTAGGGTTTAGGGTTTAGGGTTTAGGGTTTAGGGTTTAGGGTTTAGGGTTTAGGGTTTAGG